TTCGAGGTAACAGAAGAAAGGAGGAAGATTGAGTCTAATCAACAGAAAATAGCTAAGGAGTGAACACAGATGAGGGGAGAAGTCCAGAACCTCCGCTAAAAGAGCGAGCATAGGAAAAGTAGATGAAAAAGATCAGGGTGGGAAAAGACAGAGAAAGGACAGGGCCCTGTGGAACGCCACGAGGACAGCGTAGCGTCGCCAATAACTTTGTTTCCAGAAATAGGACACCCGAAGGTAATTTAAAATTTCCGATGACATATGCCGGCATTATTGTGAAGAATTGTGCACAAGAAAATAATTCTTAATTGATAAAAATGTAAACTAAGGAGAGAAAATCAATACTACAGCACAGATTATGTCAAAATTTATTTATAATCATCTGATGTGATACAGTCCTTCAAGCAAGCCTATAACCCGCAGTTTTAAGAGAATAATTAATCCATATTTTCAGTTTTCCGATCACATATTCCAGTACACAAGTAATCGCTGGTTGTATGAAGCATATCTATGAATGGACAAAAACCATAAACTTGAGTAAAAATGCTATTCTTGAAATCAGAGGAGTCAAATATTACTAATGATTATTTTAGAAAAATAAACCAATATAATATGCCAAGATAATATATTCTGAATAAAATTAAGCGTCTAAATCCATCCCTAAAGAAATGTGTGACAACATAGTGGTATATTAAAGAAAAACAGAGAGATTGACCGCCACATACACTCTCCTTGTCTATAATAATAAAGCAAAGTCACAGGAAGAATTTCATTGCCTATGTTTCCAAAAGTGATTAATTATAAAAAAAAAAAAAAAAAATTCAAAGTATTTTGCTGCTTATATTTGCATACTCTTATGTTAGAGATATGATATTATTAATCTGTGACATACTGAATGCATGTAATTCACACATTAGCCAAACCATAAATGCAGTCTAATCAAAACACCCATTCCATATCACTCAAGCGATCACAGGTAGCCAGATCCTGTCTTACTTTCCTGAGATTAAATTCAATTTGGTCCATATCTATGTTGAGTGTTTCAATGCTTAATAGAAGTTGCTCCTTTTCTCGTGTCACTTGGTCTACACTGGCGCTCAATTCTGCTCTTTGAGTGGTAAGTGCGGTTCGCTTCTGTTCCAAGTGCTGCTTCGTTTCCTGGAGGCTCTGACCGGCTGTGTTGATCTGGTCTTTTTTCTCTCTCAGTTGCTTATTTTCATGCGATAAGTCATTTATCATGTCAACTGTGTTATTTAGATTCTGAGTGAGGGAGGTCACTTGTTCCGCATAATCATTTTTAAGATCTATTAAAGTGTTCTTAGTACCGATAGCCTGCGTGACATTTTGACTAAGAATATCAACTAGGGTTTCGATGTGTTGGTCTCGTTCCTTGGCAAGTTGAAACTCTTGCTCGAGCAGACCAGTCTCGCTGTTCAGTTGGCCTTCCTCTCCTTCTGCCTTCTGGAGTGCGGACTTGGCTTCGAGGTTCTTTGTCTTGGCCTGTATCTCCTCGTGTTTCTGTTGTAGCTCCTCCATCTGCAGTTGGAGGAGCTGTTCTTGCAACTGCTGCTTGGTGGTCCCTGCCAGCCGGATTTTCTCCTCCATCTGCTTGTGCTTTGCTTCCAGCTGGGCGTTCACTTCTTGTTGTTCCCGATTTGGTTCTCGTTCAGGATGGCCTTTGTTTGCAAAGCTTCGCTGATGTTTGTGCAGCTGCGAATCTCTGTTGGGAGGAGAAAAAGGCCTTGAGACACTCTTGGAGATTGAAAAGTCCTTTGCTGTTTAGATCTGTAGCTGGGATTTTGCACATAGAAAGTGCCCTCTTTAAGATCTGAAAAATTGCATCTTCACATATTGATTGTGGATTAGGTATGCACCGAAAATATTTCAGATAATATTCACTAAAAACACTCGTTCATTCGTTCCCTTTCTGTCGCCACTAAGAGTTCTTGTTGCTGATCTTTTCTTGTTCCTTAGAGAGTTCACCGAATCTTGAAGTCCCTTTAATTCTTCTTCGATGTTCTCCTTTTGGTTGCTCTGCAGTTCGATATCAGTTACTAGGTGACTTAGGATGTCATTCAATTGAGCAGTTGCTATTTGGAGCTCGATGTTTTCTGCCTGTCTCTTCTTTATATTTTCCTTTAACCGTATGTTCGATTTTTGTAGGCTTGTTTTCTCATCATTAGGTACGACTATAACATTGTTGAGACTCTTAATTCTATTTTCGAGCAGAGCTATTTCCTGCTGGATTTCACTCTTGCTGCTCTCCAACTCTGTGACCTGCTGTTCTAACTGGATCTTGGCCGACCGCTTTTGAGCGTAGAGTGTTTTCAGCTGCGTCACCTGGCCCTTCAGTGCTTGCATTCTGCTTCGACGGGAAAATGTTTCGACTGCCGTGGCATTGGCTTTGGCTAAGAGCTGCTGATGCTCTTCATTCGTTTCCTGGATATTAAGCTTCACTTGCTCGATCGCATTCCTCCTTTGCTGAATCTCCTTGAGGCTGAGG